GCTCGGCCAAACACTAACATATGTGTAAACGCCAATCCATTATAATTGATAGAAATGTCCAATATGCGCAACCACGGTTATTAGCCGAATTGGAACTTAGTTGCGTAAATAAGACATTTCCATCAATTATAGATTAGAAATAAAAGATACTGATTCTTTAGCTTGATGCATTTCTGAACGCACCCAGACTGTCAAATTGAGAAATTGCAGAAATCAGTTGCATGAGCAGTGGCACCTTGTATGTAAAGTGTCTTTCGATAGAAATTTTTTTATTTCCGAAAGGCGAATTGCAGGGAAAATTTCTGAAATCGCTTTTTGACTGTTTACATGGCGAATGAATTTCTAGCAATATTTCTCGATACTAAAATGCAACCGTGAGCCGCTAAAATAAAAAAAATATATATAAAAGCAAGATAACGAAAAATAAATGGATTTAGAAAAACATAGGAAATGGATCGATACTATCGATAGTATCGATAGTCACCCTTAAGACTATCGTAAAACATCGATGGACTTGACTATCGATAGTTTGACAGCTCTATGGGATTGTGCTGATCACGATGGTAAAGTCGTGTAATAGAGCTGCCAATTCTGGAAAAGAAATTTAAAGCTGATGCCACATAAAACTTTTGCTTCGCTTTACGTGACAGATTCGCTTTGACAGATAAGATGAATTGTATGAAAATGCACAAAGCACGCCACATAGATCGTTGACGCTGCAGCGCGAAGCGAAAAGATGGCCAACTCCCATCTTTTTGCGCGCTTTGACAATCAACCGGTTTAATATTTATTTTATTTCGTCCAAATTTGAGTTTTCATGTAGAAACATAAAACGTAATTATATTGCTGATATTTTTAAAGCAAAATATATAAAATCCACAGCAACTTTGACGAGTAAAAAAGCAGTACAAAATTGTTTTCTTTGCGTTCATTGTGGCATACCTTTTGCGTCTGGCGCTTCGCTGGCAAAGTTATAAATGTCACGCAAAGCTACAAAGTTTTATCTGGCATCAGCTTAAGCGTTTCTGATTTTTATCAGTTGCGGCAATGCATCGATGCTTGCGTTGCCAATGTAGCATCTTCTAATCAAAATCACAGAGTTAACTTAGATGTCAGATGACCGTAGGCGAGTGGGCCTCAGCGGCTCCCAAACGAGGCACTACATTAGGTACCTAGAATAAGGTAAAACCCTCTGAGGTAGCCAGGAGACTGGCTCTCGCCAGATCGCCGCAGCAGGAGTCAGCAGACGTGGCTATGAGCGCTAGGGCAGCAGGGCTAGCAGGGGACAGAGGTATCCGGCAATCAGGCCGCACCCGCTGTAAAGCGGAAGAGTGGGCATTACAGCGAGAAAGCAGAACCCAAGCCCGCGGGAAAGCGGAGCGTTGAGCAACCCCGTGATTCGGTCAGAAGGTATGACAGGCGCACGAACGAGACCACACCCGCTGAAAAGTGGAAGAGCAGGCATTACATCGGGATGAGGAGCACGGAGACCAGAAGAAAATGGTAAGTGGTTCTGGTGAGACTGCACCCGCTGCAAAGCGGAAGAACGGGCAATTAACCCACCAGAATTTGGCTTCAAAGAAGCAGCATAAATTTTCACCATCTCCGCTATCGGGACCCTGGGGTAGGCACTGGGGCCCAACGTCTGCGCGTCTCCAGTAAAAGATTGCAGGGAGAGTGTAAAAGCAAAATAGAGCGCAAAATCGAGAGGAGAAAACTAGCAAAAAAAGCTATTGAACACAAAACTAGTAAAAACTTGCAAGTGAACAATTGTTTCACTGTTTTGACATTCTGCTGTTAACATTTCATTAGTTATAAATCAGTTTTAAACTCTGCTTCACACACAAGCACTTAAACAGTCCGGTACATCATTAATATTTTGATTTACACTCATTTTACTCTTGTTTACGTATAACCAATTCAACAAATGGCAGCTTTTGACATTAATTATTCTTCTTCTGCTAACTAACTTCTAGTTGCGATCCCGTACGAGTCCGGACTAGTCAGAATCAGTCAGATTTTACTGGAAATCGATCCCATACTCGGTTCGCTGACTATTGCGAGGACAAAAAAGAGAGTAAATACGATTCTCTCTCTGTCAGAAGCTACCAGTTTTAGTCCGAGAATTTTTTGCTGGTAAATAGTTGCGATCCCGCACGAGTCCGGACTAGTCAGAATCAGTCAGATTTTACTGGAAATCGATCCCGTACTCCTCTGACTATTGAGAAGACAAAAAAGAGAGTAAATACGGTTCTCTCTCTGAATTCTGGTAAATGTCTTAAACGATCAGCTGTGGTGTGTTTGGCAACCAAATTGTAAACAAAAGAAAAGTGCATTCCCTAAATCATGTTAAAAAGTATATAGTTACTTGTTTAAGTGGATTCTAATGAATTTGAAAGTATTTTTGGTTATTTGGAGGTTATGTTGAAGTTGACAGAAGTTACAATGTTACTCTCTCCCTCTAAGCGAATTTTTATTTTTTGACAGTTTTACTAGTTTCTGTAAGAGGTATACGGGATTGCACCTACTGCTAGTAAAAATTTCACTATTACGCTCTCGATTCAGGGCCCTCCTGCAAATTTTTTGGGTTATTATACACTTTTCCAGTAAAAATTTGCAAGTTCCAGTATAAATTAGTACTATTTTTTACTATACAAACCTACTATTTCGTCTAAATTTTTTCTGCTTTTTTGCAGTAATTTTTTCTAATTTAGTGGTTTCTATGCAAATATCTATTAATAGTTATTTATAGGTTTATTTAATGTTGTACAGGGTTTGTATAGTATATATTACTTAGGGCTTACACGAGACAATATTGTCAAGACAATTATGTCAAAATGCTGTGTTTGTTGTAAACACGGCGAATTCATATTACAACAAGTCTGGTGTAAACCCCCAAGTTAACGTGTACATAAAAAAATAATTCTCCGTTATTTCAATAAAACCTTTATGGGTAGATTTTTTATTTCCATATCAATTTAAAATTAACACATTCATTTAAACTTAGGTTATAATAGTTAAAAACACTCCAGTATTCCAATAAAATCTATTAACGTTAAATATTTTTCTTAAATACGTATAAGAAAATAATGTAAGAAGATATTAAAAACATAAGTGAATCAAGCTTACGAAGAAATTGATAGTACATTTTGAATGCATTAAATCGCAATATTTTATATATAGTTTTCCTACTATCCAATAAAAGAATTTTAAATCTATAAACCAAGAAAGAAATATGTATAAATCAAGAAGAAATATGAACCCTAAATTAAGTAACGTTTTTAGATGTACTTAAAACCAAAACTAAGGCTACACATGCACATAACATTCTGATAGATCAATCAGTATATAATTCAACCTAAATTCTAAGCTGCCTTGTATTATTGTCTATTGTTTACACTATCCCCGCCATTATTCATCGAATTCTCCATGTTTTTAACAATAACATAATTAGTTATGTGATTTATGGCTTCATCCTGCAACCGGTCTGGCCAACGTCTCATGTACGATTTAATAAAGTCTCCAAATGTATCAACTTTATCCGGAGTGGCCTTGTGATTATCGACAATATTTTTGACAATGTCCACAAATTTATCATATTCTTCAGACGGTTTTTTAATTTTGATGTTGTTGTTATTATTGTTATTATTGTAGTTAGGTAAAACACCATTTGTGTTATTAGGTGCTGTATTAAGTTGCGCTGAAGCTGCAGCAACAGCCGCCGCAGCGGCTGTGGAGGCCATAAAGTTCACATCGTTGTTTTGATTGGGTGGCGGTTGGGTGTGATCTATAAACTGTCGGTGCATGCCATATTCAGATCTATGGTGAATTTAAAAAAAAAAAACTTAATATATATATAATGATAGTAACTATAATGTACATTGAACCTACTTATAAAATCCTTCGGAATTATTACTATTAAATTCTTGTTGAGTCATTTGATTTTTCCACACTGGGGATTCCGATGCGGATGGTAGAGTACTCGGATTTGAAGCAGGCGTCATAATTCGTTTATCTCTATGGAATTTATAAAATACAAGTGTCTTTGGTTAAATAATTTTCTTTTAGTTGAAAGCATACTTATACCCAGCTTGACCAGCCAAACTTTTAAAAACATCATCCACTTGTGAATAGAATTTCCACGTGCTTATAATACCGGTTGTTTCGAAGGTTTTCTGTTCTTGTCTAAATACGAATAAAGCGGTTACAGAATAATGTTTTGTGTTTAGATAATGATGTTTTTGTTTTATTTCTTTACTAGGTACATGTTTACTAACCTGTAGCGTTGGGTTAAGTTATTTACTTTAAAATGTACTTCTAGCGCTGTCACAGGTACACCCAAAGCAGTTAACTGCTTTGCCATAGCCACATACAAATGGCCATTGCGTTTTATGGTGCGCAACTCATAGGCGCAGACTTTCCACAGCTTGATTAATTCTAAAACACCATTATCCTCCCATTGTCGACGCTTTTTGTTGAATTTTTCATACTGCGAAAAATAGGGATACGTATTACTACACATGGAAATAAGTATGTTGATTAATAATTGGTTTGGATAAGCTATACTTACAGGCATTTCACATGGGTCTCATAAAGGAAGAATGGAATTCTCGAAGAACCTCCGCTATCACGATCCCGAACAGTACAGCGATGGCTTTATTAAAATCGACCAGTTTAATTCACCAAAGCTATGATATGCATATCTGTGAAAAAGAAGTTGGTTGAAATTACTAAAAGGTAATCAAAAATAAAACTGTACATATATTAATGTGTAGAAGGCATGCCTAAGTTCATTTTGATTCAACATCTACTGAAATAAAGCAAAAACGTAGTGGTAGTTAATCTTTTGCGTTATCATCATTTTGGATACTTGCTTTGGTTGCAGAGTCCACCCACTTTGCGCGCACACTTCAACTTGAAAGATATCAACGATCAAAACAAAAAAGAAAATTGCTTAATTATGAATAAAAAAGATTCGCTAATGATGACGTTTTAAATATCAACTTGTTCAAGCGCAATTAACCAAGAATTAAGCCACAAAAACNACATCCATACATATCCACTGACCGAGCATGCATACATACGTATATATGGTACATATGTATGTACTCTGCAGCACTGTGGTTGTATTGAATACATTCTATGCAGCCGAAACGTTTGGCTGATTTAATTTTGTAAACAATCTGCTTTAGAAATTGGCACACTCTGCATTAGTTTTAACACAACGCGATGTACGCCAAGGTAAGCAAAGGCACACTTTGGTTAGCTGGCATCATGGAGCAGTGAACAACTTATACTAAAGCGGATATTCAAGTATACTAAACCGACAAGCGAAGAAGATGCAGATGCGCTCTCTGCATCAGACAACCCGGGCGCGAGATGCCACCGACGATACTTTCGTCAGTTGCTACACTTGTCAGCGGCTGCTGTTGTCTCCGCAGTTTAACCAGAAACAAGATGGGGGCTGCTACTGCACTAAGCTTTATTTCGCATATATGTACATATGTACATACGTAGTTTAATGCATAGACAAGTAGTATGCTTGTACTAAACATTTGTATAAATGCCATATTTACATACGTACATACAAATATTCGTTTTTTGTATGTATGCATGATTGTAAACCTCATCGCCATCACAGTTGCTCCCCATCAAACCTAATTACAATTTCAAAAAACTAGTCTAATGACCATTTCATTTTCTTCCTCCTTTTCTTTACGCAGTTCGTTTGTTTGGTTCATTCATTATGTTGCTTGGCCCTTAATTTCGTTTCACTATTTATTTCATTTCTCTTTTTGTACCCACATATGTATTTAGAACCTTAATTCGAATCCACTCACATATCTTCTATCCAATTTGCCTAATTGGCGAGCTGGATATGTACTTAATTGCTGATTGCTAATACACACGCCGCTAATGAAGTTGCAGCAATTCAATTTATTTCTTATATTAACTGAGTTGCTCTTATCCTTCTTTTTGGTTTCCTGCTTTTGAAAAACTTAATCAATATGTTATCGTTTGTTGGGGCTTATGGCCGAAAAGTAAATGATGTAATTAATATAATGACAATTCCAAATCGCTATCTTTCAACACTGTACGGCTTTGACTCTCCGCGCACACCAACATAACACAACCGAAGCACAAAGACGTTGAATCGGAACTAAACAATCGGCCATGTCGTCGCCGCCATTGCGTTCGCTGTCGCAGCGGATATTTCTGCTGCTGCGACGCCAGCGTGTGGATTCTCTCTTGTAATTTACCCCACCACAATCTTAATTATGATGTTGTGTGGAAATAATTGTATTTAAGAACAGCGATTCGTTAACTAAAAAAAGATTGCATGCAATGATGGTTAGCCCAGTTACGTATGTAGCTGTTGGGGGGTTGAACGTCTGGGAAGAACATAAATAGCAGATACATGAATCCAAACAGTGCGTTTGTACCAGGCATGCCCAACGCCGGCAGAACTCCATAAGCAAGTGCCCTGCGCTGGCAGAATTCTATAGGCAAGTGCCTTGCGCTGGGCACGGCTGGTTTGTACATACATACATACATATCCTTGCATGCGTTAGGGGCATAGATGACCCTTTCATGTCACTGAGGGTCATTCCCTATCAAAACCAAGAACTAATAAACCTATTTGGTCCAACGTCGTACAAGAATTTGTTCTTGGCTTAAAATCATCACTCGGGAGAAGCCCATGCTTTGAATATGTCTTAAATACCCCTAATTCCGAGCCCGTAATCCATTCCACCCCCTAGGCCCAATGCATTTGAAGCGACTTTTTTTTGGACAACTGTACATTTACTATTAAAGATTGGTCGCAAGCTTAGGATTTTTGACTTGCGACATAGAGTTATAATTAAATTTACTAGTATCCCTGCGCCAAATATCGGAAGACACTGATCCTTCTAAAAATGTTAGCACAAAACAACAATCATTCAATGCGATTTTAAAATCTGGGAGAAAATGGTTCCCAATTGAATGTTTCTTGCGATTTTATATGTGTATAAATGTAGGTGTATA